CACCACCTAGCACAAGTTGAATATTTATGCACTCATAGAACTTTGGAAAGATAAATTTTCTAGAATGGTATTATATTATATGTGACATATTGTATATATACAACTTGCTAACATGTGAGCTCTGTGAGTTCAGAGATAACACAGTGACATGGGGACTATAGTCAAGGCACATGCAAATCATTATGAGAACACGGAGGAAGCAAAGCCAAGCAAACTTACTGAAACTATTGAAGAACCTCAACATTCAGAGCATCGCAAAGAAAATTAGGAGGCAGTTTAGATATGACCAAAAAGTTAACAGGTTAAAAATGTAAATAAATTTAAAAACAGTTTGCATTTTTTCATTCAAAAATATTTTATTACCATGGGCTCAGCCCAGGGAAATCAATAGGAGAATTTAAAAGAAAAAAAAAAAGGTAAAATCCTGTCTTGCTTTCAAGATCATTATAATCTCACTAGATGCCCGATGCATGAAATTTGTGCAAGAGTAGGCCTTCCGTCCCCTAGCTGTCGGCACCAGCTTCCCTCTGGCACCTGGGACCCGGGCTTCCCTCTGGCTGCCATCAGGCACCAGGACCCAGGCTTCCCTCACAGCCCCAGCTTCGTCTGGAAGGACATCTGGAAGGATGTCCAGTCTAATTAGCATATTATGCTTTTATTATTATAGATGTTGTAGGTAAAACTACCAAGCAAAAAAATCAATCAGTAAATAACCATAGCAATTCAGTACCAACCTCTGTAGATAGACTTATAAAAGTTCTGTTAAGAGAGAGACAAATAATCATAGGAATAGACACAAGCCATGTTTTCTTAAATACTTTATTGACAAATTTATTGCAATCATTGAAGGTGGGATTTCATGTCAGGAGTCAAAAAGATTTCTGAATATTGGGCATAATGACTGACAAAAGTTAACAAGATGAAACACTCTCCATGTAAGTGAAGAAAATGAACCACAAAAGGAGAGAACAACAGAGTTGTGACTTCATTTTTAAGGCATGCTTTCTGTATCTTCATTTAAGTCACTTACAAAAGTACTGACTGGGATAGTATTCTGTTCCTCCCAGTCATGTTAATTCATCCATCAGCAGCTTTTTGTTCATTTCTTCAACCAGTTACAGTCATCTACTCATCATTTTGATTCTTTCACAGTTACAGAATGAGAAACCTTATCTAATGCCTCCCTGATGTTTCAATCCATTACGTCTACTATATACCTCAGACCTACCAGTTTAGTGACCTTGTCAAAGAAGAAAACAAAGTTACTCTCACCTTTTTAAAATTTTTGGCACTTAAGGATATGGCATCCTATATAATAAAAGGCTAATATGCAAACTGACCAAATGGTGGAACGACCGGTTGCTATGATGCACACTTACCACCAGGAAGCAGATGCTCAATGCAGGAACTTCCCCCTGGTGGTCAGTGCGCTCCCACAGAGCGAGCACCGCTCAGCCAGAAGCTGGGCTCATGGCTGGCGAGTGCAGTGACAGTGGTGGGAGCCTCTCCTCCTTCATGGCAGTGCTAAGGCTGTCCAACCGCCAGCTTAGGACATCGGTCAGTTGAACATCCCCCAAGGGCTCCTGGACTGCGAGAGGATGCCAGTTGGGCTGAGAGACACCCCCCCCCTCCAGTGCACACATTTTCTGCACAGGGCCTCTAGTGTTTTCATAATTGTTACTAAATCTATACTATAATGGTCTTTGCTGGGATCTTATTCAGATTTATGCTAAGCTTTGATATAAGATATTTGAGGAGGCTTAATATAAAATCAGATATACAAAATTTAGCCTTAAAAATGAATTTTAAAAAAAGAAAATTGGGAAGAGAGAGCTCTTTAAATGAAACACAAATGTTCTTAATACTATATTATAGCATCAGTTAACTTTCAAAAGTTTTATGTAGCAAACTATATATTATGGCTTAGTTTGATTTTCACATTGTAGCTAAATTCAAAATTCTTGATTTTAGTCTATTGTACGGCTAGTAATGTTAACAAAATTTAAAAAGCCACTTCATAATTTAATGCTAAGCAGTGACTTCCTTGATTAAGGTGGTGCCTGTTCTTTTTTAAAAACACACCTCTCTATCTCATGACCTGTGCTAAATAGTGGCAGGGCTCAAGGGCTTAGAGATAAGGACGTCAGTGTCTGAGAAGTGATATTTCAAAATAACACATCATGCTACATATGAACAATATTAGGGGATAGTTATATGAATGAACAAAATGTTAAAACATATAAACAGGTATGTGTATGCCCCTGGGCCCAGACCTAAGCTTTCTAAAAGCAATAAAGCTGCACCTCAGGCAAAATGATATTGTAGAACCAACAGCAAAAATTATAGAATTAAAAGCATCCTCAACTGTGCCAAAAAAAATCTCTTATATCACAAAAATTATAGAATCAGAAATTTTAAAATGTAGATGATTTTGTGTATTTGGCCCCAAATAATATTTGTGAGTAAATGTATTGGGTTTATATGATAAAGTGTACTTGGAAAATATAATATCACAGTGTTTTTGTCTTTAATTACATAAATGAAAATGTGCATAGCTAATTTTTGGAAATTAACTACATGTCTGCTGAGACTGCATTCTATGTCTGTAAGATGGCTTGACTCCACTGCTTTCTCCTACACCCCCTTTTCTTTTCATTTTTTTTCTTTTTTTCATGATTTAATTCATTGAAACTTACCTTTAAATGTTATGATTATTAAATCTTTTTCTATTTTCCTTTCAGAGTGCTACAGAAAACAAAATTCAAACTGCTCTCATCTACTTCTCTGCAGCCAAAAGACTAGAATTATACACAACTTTAATAATGGTCAATATTGCCTATAACTTCTCAGTTACCTCCTATGATCTCAGCTTATTTAAGGAGTGATTCCCACAGAAGGTTTCTTAGCTGTTTCCTTATGTTTTATAAAAATAAAAGAAAAAACCTATCTTTCACATGGGTCAGAAACCTAATAAAAACTACTGTTCAAAGTACCAATCTTCTTAAAATATATATCCTTGTGATATAATATTCTCTCTCCAATACCTGCCCAGACTCAATACTTGTTTCATCTTCCATTTCCCCAAGCTTTGTTATGAAGGGGAGGGTAAGTGTCTAAAACATAAAAAAGAATTGAAACCATTCAGAAATAAAAATAGATGAGAATCATTCTATCAAAAACACCTGTTGAAGAAAAGCTCTTGGAAAATGGGGAGGTAGAGAGGGATAGCATGGAAGATGAAGAGAGAGAGTAACATTTAGGCCAACAGTGATTCTGAGAGTTTAAAACAAAGGATGAGAAGCAACTACCATAAATGATAGGAGGAGAAGAAACTGCCATTCTGATGGAATGCCATGGCTCCTACTCTTACATTTTTGTTTATTATTTGTTAATTCTTTTGAATTTGTTGCCATTTTTGGGACATGGGGCTATGCTTAGGCTGGCCCCAAATATTCTGATCAGAAAGGGGAAGGAAAGGGAGAACGAAAGAGGGAGGAGGAGGCATTGGGAGGGGGAGGGGGAAGAAGGAGGAAAGCAGCAGTACCTAAAACCAAGCCTATGAAATATGTCAAATTTCTGAGCCCGGCCCTTTATCTTATCTCATTCAACAAGGCCAAAATAATTAAAGATCATGTCAAGTAGACAAAGGTGTTACGTGAAAATTCCATAGCTTTTCTTAAGCGATTTCCCAATTATTCTGTTTTCTAAATATTCCCAGATTACTACTCCCATAAAGTGTTTACGAAAAATTTCACAACAGCTTGTTTTTTAGGTTGTTCATTGGTGTCTTTGAAATTTTTAGTGTCTAACATCTGTCCTATAATTTTATGTTGGACTTGAAGGTTACCTATAAGTGAGTGTATGTCATCACACTAACTTAGAATGAAAATACTTAATAGTTGCCAAGCACAATAGTTCCTTATTCTTTTCCTCTCTTGCCTGACTGTACTCCTTTTTCCTCTTCCCTTTAAGTTCAGGTCTCTTAAAACTGTCAGAGAAGCAACTTCTTCTTATTTTTATCACAATCATGCTTCATTTTTTATTAAACAGTAATATCTTTTGATTGTAAAATAAAATAGATTCCCCCTTCTCAAAGACAGAAATTTCATTCTAAATTTTGAGATAAGTAAAATTAAATATTTAAAAATATGTACTTTCCAGAAAGAAAACAAATGTCCTGAAGAAAAGGAAACAATATCTATACTATGTATATATTTTCTCAAAGTGACCAATTTAAAAGTAAAATGTAGATGTATAGATGTATTTAAATCTATAATTTCTGAATTATTTGTACAACATTGCAATAATCACTTGAATTTAAATTGGGCACATTTTGCATATTCTTTCCATATTTTAAATTATTATACTTTTTCTTCATGATATTTTAAGTAGTTGATTATGATTTGAGACAGCTCTTGTCATTATCACTATAACCATTCTTTATTTATTTTTTGTCCCCCCCACCCCCCCCAAGAAATCTATGGCATCCATCTTTTGCTCTGTCCACAATTAAATGATAGTTAATGGAATTAATCTAACTTGTAGAAAAGCATATGTTCAAGGAGTTAAAACATAAAGAGTCTTATTATAACCACTTCTTAACTTTTCAGGAAAAGGGGGAATATTAAATATTCCTCAATTCAGTAACTTTTACAAATTAGTAATTTACTTTTTACAAATTAGAAAAAATAGACATTGCCTCCTTTGTTCATTTTGACTTAAAAATGGAAAATCACTGCCATTTGACTACAATCATATTTTAAAAAAACTTAACTGGCTGATTTCTGCTCAGAAAATGCTTCTACTGATGTGGTTCTGGTGGCAATGTAGAATACCTGTCTTCTTTAGGTAAATCTTGGGTGATGTGGACTTTAAAAATCCTAGTTACACCCAAGATTCCATTCCTCTGTAGTTACTCACCTGGACCACAGACATGTAGGGCCTGCCTAAAAGAGACTTAACATCAAGTGTGGCCCCAGCAGTGACTCATCCCTTTAATATAGTGAAACTATAGAGGGAAGAACAGGGAGGATGTATTGGTTGCTAGGGAAATCTGCGGAAAATGACATCCTGTATTAATAAGATCTAAGGTACGACTCACATAATTATCCTAATTTTAAGATTGATGGAAATGATGAAGCATTCCTTTACATCGGGGACAGGTCATAAAAAAATGTCTAAATGTACAGGACTGCATATGGTTTTAGAATGTGACTTTATAAAGAAGGTGGAGATCCCAACTCCCTTTCATGTCTCTATATATATGTCCAAGTGTGTGTGTTTAGTGCTCTGGGAAGTGTCTTGACAGAGAACCTGAGTAGGACAAAGCAGTCTGGATCTGAGTGAGCTAACTGGCACCATGAAAATATCAGGTGTCTTTCTGCTCCTCTCTCTGGCTCTTTTCTGCTTTTTCTCAGGTGAGTTTTTTCTTTAAAATTAAAATCCAATACTTATGCTGAACTGGACATGACAAGTATATTTACCTACCATATTTCAAAATTCTAACAATTTTGATATGAAAGACCAATTCTGAGAGATTATCATAATGATGATAATGATGATAATGATTATAATGATGAAAATGTTAATAGTAATAATTATAAAAATAACTTTCATTTGTTGAGCATATACTATATTCGAGGCATGTACTAAGAGCTTTTATGCATTATCTCCAATACAAGCAAGCTATTCCTATCTATATTCTACATCCAAGAAAACTGTGGCACAAAACGTAAGAAAATTTGCAAAGGACTTACAACTCGTAAGTAGAATTTGGAATTTGATCAGATCTTCTAGACATCACAGTTTATGCTTGTTCCACAAAACTAGTCTGGGGGATGGCTAGTTGTCTTATATATTTACTTAAATACTTAAGTATTTTCTTCTAAGACAAAGGAAAGCTTCCCTGTACTCATTATTCTTATACAGTAATTGGAACTCAATTAAAATTAAAACAAGGGGAAAAAGGAAACTCAATTAGAAAATCCTTCAGAAAAAGGTATCCAGTCTTAGAATACTGAAGCATATATGTTGTTGTAGAACTAAACAATTGTTCAAGAAGGGGAATATCTTTGGGCACCTTAATGAGCAATAGTCAAATATTCTATCAATTTGGATTGTTCAAAGGACAACTGTACTTTGATCCAATGTTTTTCAGTACAGGGCCATGCGAATGAACAGGACACTGTATCTCTTTCCTTCCTTCTTTATTTTTCCACCCAATGATGTTATAGTAGACAAAGAACACACTAGAGTCTCTAGACTCAAGACCTAGACCCATATCTTCCATTTATGACTGTGTCAACTGGAGACAGCTCAGATCTCTGAGATCTTCTCTCATTTATAGAGTTCTAGAAATAAGATTGGATCTTGGAAACTTACATGTGTGATCTATCATTTGCTGTGACAAAAGCCATTGAATTTGGGGGCTATCAGAGATATTTCCCTGAGATTGAATAGGTAAAGAAGTCATTTTTCACTGGAAACTGGTTATATTTAAGTGAACAAATACATTTAGAAATATGAAAAAAATTACTGTGATCTTATAGAATAAGTTTGACTCATAAGGCTAAATAACCTGAAATGATGTTTCTGTCACCTGCTAAGATGACATAAAATAGATGTGACTGTCTAAAAATTTGCTGGCTAAGATGCTCTCAGAAATTAATTGATATCCTTGTTGCTTCTCTTTATGATCTTTTCATTGGATCTTATGTACCAGGACACTCAATTTACCAAAACATGGCCCTTCATAGATCAATCTGTATTTGGTAAGGCCAATGCCTAAGTGCCTTAATGTTGAGTTTCAGTCCCCGCATTTCCATTTTATAGTGTGTGACCTTTCTGAGTAGTTTCTTCATCTGTAAAATACAGTTATAAAAGGAATATTCCTGTGTGTGGAATTAAATGAGAAAATGCATGTAACGTGCTTTACATAGTGGATGGGATCTAGTAAGAGTTTAACAAATGTCTATTAATATTAACATTATTGAACTTCAATAATATGACCACTGTATTGAACTCAGGTGTTGCTGATGCTAATCATCCTTCTGCCCTGGTAGTTCTACATATAAGATGGTGGGCAAAATCTCTCCTCTTCTGATCAAAGATTTGTACAGTGAAGAAATAGCTGAGAATTATAATAATGAGTTTTCCTGGGTCATAAAACTCACTTTAAGTGCTTACAAAAATATAAACTTCCAGACCCTATTTGGTCTTATATAATGAAATTTTCAAGTGATTGTCCTAAAAATCTGTATTTTTAGTAATACTGCTGCAATATGGTTGGTATTCACTATAGTAGATTGCCATCAACTTTATTTCGAAATTGAAAGCCCTGTTCTTGCCTCATCTCCATTAATAGAGAATGTACTTGAAGGTATTTCCAGCTGTCCTCCTTTAAGTATGACACTTACTCATACTTTCTGTCATCAAGGAGGCTTTTGGCTAAACATGACAGTTGTCACTGGCATTAGGAGTTCCCCAGAAATGACCAGAATTCAGCTCAGAGCAAAATTGAACCAAACATTTTTTATTATTTCAGCATTTAAAACCATTGAGCTAATTTGCCACAACCCAAAATCACAGACCTAGCTACAAAGATGGAGGGGGAGAGAGAGAGAATCAAGGCTGTATTTATAGATTGTTTCCTCTTTCAGGAATTTAGAGAGATGTAGCGAAATAAATGAGTTTGTCCTTGACAGTCTATATTGGGGCCAAGTCTTTAAAGCTGAGTATAGAGGACAGAAAAGCAATTTTGACCTCAAAGAACAAATAAAGTTAATCTCTTCCTGAACTGCCTATAACAAAGGCAGTGCAATGAACCTGGAAATGTCAAAGTCAGAGGAGACTTTCCAACCCAAATTCTCCAAAGACCAGAGATGAGGTCATTTCCACAGTGGATTAGTAACTGGGCCAGAACTCTAACATAAATGTCCAGATTCTGAAACGATTTTCTTTCACCTCCCCTCCTAACCTCTAAGACATATGATCTTAACCTTGTCCATCCCCTTTCATCACTTCCCAAGTGGCTACTGCTCCCTGAGAAGTAAACAGGTACTGGAAAATCAAACAGTCATGCCATGACTTGTTGAGATGACCAAGAACCAAGAATAAGTATCATTCCAGCCTTGAGGGTTTCCCAATTTTGCAAATCCCACTTTTTCCACATTCAGAAATTACAGTGTTCAGACTTTGTGCTTTTTTTTTTTTCAGGTGTCTTCAGTCAAGGAGAAAAGGTCAGTGCATATTTTTATCTATTCTTCAGACACGGGTGGTGCTTGGTTGGTATTCCCAGCCCAAGGAGAGGCTTGTCTGGGGGCAAAAGGACAAAAACAATGAACCGCAGGCCAAATGCAGAAATCAGTGGGAGAAATAAAATTTTAACTACAATTTCTCTGAGTTAAAAGAGCTTAAATACCCATGCTCAGGTTTTGTTAAAGTAAAGCAAGTATAAATGAAAACAGGATGAATCTATAACACTCATAATCTATCACTGCTTTCACGGTGAGATCTGGGGCAAGTAACTCAGGTTTTCTGAGCTGCAATTTCCACAACTGTAAAAAAATAAATAAAAGGATAATCTTATTCACCTCACAGAATTGTAGTCAGATTGAAATTATATAAACAATGTGGAAGTATTTGGTAAACTATAAAAAGATTAGTTGTTGGTTAATGATTAACAGCTTCTGAAGGATTTAGATCAGAGGTTATTCTTCCCTTTATAGACATAAAGCCATCAAAAGTAAAAAAAAAAATATTGCTTATTAAAAGGGTTGTTTACTGCTCTATATTGCGTATACATAGACTCTTTCACTTAAATGTAAGTACAATTTGGGTTACAAGTTGGAATGGGGACAAATTATCTTCATTGTCTGGCTGCTATTTGTTCCAAATCAATCCATCAAATTTCCTCAGATTGCTTGTTCTAAGCATCAAAAACCACAAACAGGTGGTATTTGCTCAGCTAGTCCTACTCCTGTGTCCATACAGAAAGAACATTTCTACTTGACCTTGGCAGTTGTTTTTGTTAGCCTTTGTGTGCCCAGGAACCCTTGACATCAAAAGTTTCCAGATACTACTGCCAACTGGTTCACGTTGGCAAAAGAGCTGAAAACCTCTTCCAACTCTAGTATATTACATCAGACTTTTTCCTTCCAATTTTAAACTCTCATAAATTGAAATGCATCTTTCAATGGATGATGCCCTACAGTTAACTCTCAATGTATGTGCATGTGCACTTGTGCGTGTGACACATGCATACACATGTGTTTGTCCTTGTATATAAAATTGTATATCTTAAAATTGATTTCTTATTATGTTTAAACCCATATGGTAGCATAATCCATGTTAAATATTAAAACAAAAAAAACAATGAAAGGACCTGGGATCCAGCCAACCCATTTTGTATCTCACTAGGTAGTAAAATATAAAACCATTACCCACAGATTGAAAATATATGAAATTTAATATGAAATTCTCATCGATACTCAAGTCTCTTCCCTTATTTAGGTTTTGATCTCAAAGATATTTAATGTTTCCCAGATTTTCAGTGTTTTCTAAAGTTCAATTAAAATTTACTGATTCTATTCCTTTCGATAGGCCTAAGTCTAATAGTGGACTTGCCTTTGGATCACTGGAAATGTTTCCTAATATACAGATCCCCAACACCATGCCAGACTTACTAAATAACAATCACACGTGGGGAAATTTTCAGTCTGCATTCTACATAATTATCCAGTGCTGGGGAGCGCTGTCTTTGCTCAAACATCTTAGAGATAATATACATGAGTTCTAATTCAAATATTTACTGCCTGTGTGATCTAAGAGATGTCTCCTCCCTTGTCATTGCCTTTGTTTCCACATCTCTAAAATAAAAATTTCGATTCAATGATCTCTAAAGCCCCATCTGTCCTTAGCTATCTGAATCAGTATGAACCAAGCCTGCCTTGCCAAGACCACTGTCTTTTTTCCACTCAAGTAGACAGGGGAGGGAGGTGCCACCTTTCAGATGGCATCAAGGCTACCATTTCTCTTCTGTATGGCTGGAAGGATGGTGGCGGTTCAAACGACAGGCAGAAAAAAAGTTGAAACTAACCTTAGGAGCATGCCTGCCTAATTCTGATTCTGCTAAGACAAAAGGAAGAAAGATTTCCTCCAATACTTAACTCAGTCTACTCATTCCAAGAAGCCTCTCCATGCTGAAGCATCTGATGGTAGATTATAGTTAATAATCTAAATTATAGCCTTGTAAAAGGAGACTTTTAGAATAACTCACTATATATAAATATTAATTATGAATTAAATTATTATCTAAAGTTGGTCCTGTACATTTCTAATAATAGGAATTAGAGTTTGAAATTTTGATGAAGATTCAAGAAAAAAACAATGCCTAAGAGTCATCAGTATCATCTGGAAATATATATGCTCTTAGAGAGGGACAACCAAGTATATAAAATGTTCTTGAAAATGAACATAGTGAATAGTCAGGAAGAAAATAAAAAATGATAAAAGGAAGAGAGAAGAAATAGTTAGAGAGTCAGAGTATTGACATGTTACAGAAATCAGGGGTTTCAAAAAGGAGTAACATATTGTAAAAAATCATGAGCATTTTATAAATAGCTAATGGGTGTATTCTGAATCATTGTGTAGAGCCATTTTGCTAGTGTGGAATGGGTATAAAAGCAGGGGAAGTAGAGCACAAGTCGTGGAGGGGTTTAGAAAACCGGTGTGATTAACAAGGATCTGATGTAACTACCTGGGTAGTAGTAAAGGGAAGAACAGAGGAAGTCCTACACCCTAGAGGTGTATGTGTGTTTGCAAAATTTCATTAACTTTATTTTTAGAACTGAAATACTAGACTAAAACATCAATGACCCTGACTTCTAAGTTAATTTTTGTGATCATATAAGCTCATTTTCCAGTGAAATTAAATGCTTTTGTAGTTTCCATTAGATGACTAATCTGGGTACTAAAAGTGTCCCTGTATTCCAGAATATTTTTGAAGGTACAATTCTTTGAAGAGCCACAAGGGGTCAGGCCGGTACTACACTTTGGTACCCAAGCACCTAGAAGTAGACTCAGGAAGCTGGACTAAGAAAATAAGTGGAGGCTCTTGTTAAAGCCAACACCAACCTAAAAAAACACCAAAACAGAACAACGTTCCTCATTAAGTAGAGTAAGAAGTAATGGGCTCCAAACATTCTAGAATATGAAACAATGTACATTGTTAGTGCCCATAATATCAATCCTCCACATGATACTCGACCTTTACAAACTGTTTTCAAAGGACTATTCATTTACAAGAACCCTAAAAGACAAGTATTGCTGGCCTCCAGTTAAATATAAAGAAATTTCAACTCAGAGTAGTCAACAATTTGCATGAGGTAATGCAGGTAGTAAGAGGAAGAAGCAAAATTCAAACCCAGGTCAGTTTAATACCACCTACAGTACAGTCCCCCTAACATTATAGAGCATTGGGCATTTTAAATAAATTCAGGGGATTTTGGCTGTCCTGGGTCTCTTGGAGGAAACTTTAAGGAGAAAAGATAACCCTACCACCCTTGGTCTAGGCCTGCTTTTTTATGTCCACTAAGAAACTAATTGTCTGCGTTCTATTTAAAGGAGACCAAAATGAAAATATAAAAGAGGACAGGAAATTTAGACAGAGGAAAGGCATGCCATTCTTAGACTGCTTCTCCTTAAGTTGAGAACTGTGGGCTCATTCTAGTCCTACTAGATATTCTGAGGTTCTCCTGTCTCGCTGTTTGTCTCACAGAAAGGATTTGTGGTTGGCTCTGCAAAGTCATTCTTTATCTTTCCCAATGTCCAGGCCTCTCCAAAAGTGGCCCTTTTCTGTCCCCATCACCATGCTAAAATTTCTCAGGCAGTGTAAGTGAAGAAAGGCCTCTAGATATAACAGAATCATTCAGGCAGTAGTTGTTATTTCTCACACCCAATTGAAGAATTAAGGACTCAGCTTAATTTAAGCCACTTTACTGAATGAATCACTGCTAAATCTTATATTATCAAAGTTGGAAAGGTCCTTAGAGACCATATAAGCTACTGCTACTGAACACAAATTTGAAGCTCCTTCCAAAATGTGGTAAGAGCAGGTCTACAATATGAACCTTATTTTCTGCATGCCTAGTCCAAGACTATTTCAAATACTCCATGCTGACTTTCTACAACTCTAATATGACCACATTTGATCCTTATAACAACCATGGGAATGAAGCTTGACAACCATTAATGAAAAAAAAAACATTTTGGTTAAGAAAATTGAGATGCAGATAGTGAGCGCTTTGTCTGAGATGACACAACTAAACAATGACGAATGACAGGACACGTTCTGAAACATGGTTCTCCAGCTACACCAGGGACCCTTGAAGGACAGGACAATTTAGAAGCATGAAATATATCTACATTCTAAGGACATTTGTTCATATTCCATTTGATTGATTTGGTTTTATTTATGGAAATTCTTAGCCCTACCTAGTCTCATTCCCAGGGACAATGGAAGGGGGAAAGTGGGTCTGGGCACAGAAGTGGGGTCTAGAAGCTCTCAAAGTAAATGTCCTCCAAGTGCCACTTTCGTATCTGCTTTCTAAAGGACAAAAGAGCCTGGATCACAAGATCAGAGGGTCGAATGCCAGGGAAAGGTGGCTTGAGAAGGCGTCTCTTTAAAGTAAGAGACTTTTGTTTCCTTTCTCGCTGATCTGACTGTAGAGACACCCATATCTCTCTCTGACTGAGATGCCTTTTCTCGACCTGCACATTGTCCTTGTTTGGCCCACTTGGGTGTCTCTCACTCATTGTGCTGTAATTATCTGTCTTCTTTTCTGCTTTCCTAATTCAAATAAGATGGCGAATGTATGGAGATATAACTGACTCCTTTTTGTATCGCCAGCACCCAGAACCATGCCTTACAAGTATTAGTTACTCATTGGCTGTTGGAATAAATGAAAATATCAGTGATAAGTCTATGGTTTCCAGTCTGTTCTTGACTCACACAATTGCAAATGTGTATGTTCATGACTTAAATACAAAATAAATTAGCTTTTGAGAGAAAAAAAATCCTATGGTTAATCATGTCCTGAAGATTTCTCAGCTTACTTTTTATTTGGGGACCTAAAGGAAAGGTTACCATCCCCAAAGTAGTATGAAAGGATGGAGTTATCTTTAAGAGCAGTAAGAAAAAAGTGGGGCTATAGGTAGGACTATAAAAAGCCTAGACATCTTCTATCCAACCAAGCCTAAGATCTCTGATGAGCACCACCCCACCCAGCCTCAATAGTACAAAATGTGAAATTGCATAAAAAATGTGTGTTTAAAAGTCTCAGTTGCCTTAAATCTGATAAATGTGATATTTTGCAACTCAACTGTGTGATTCTTTTGCTGAGCTTTTCCCCCATGCAAACCTTCAGAGAGTGTTATCAGTATACTAGAGCCGGTGCACAGATTCGTGCACTGGTGGGGTCCCTCCACCTGGCCTGTGGGGATTGGGTTGAAACTGGCCCTCCAACATCCCCTGAGGGGTCCCAGATTGCGAGAGGGCTGTTCTAGGATGACACACCCCGGAATCAGGCACCCTCCTCTCTGGTTCCGGGTGTGTCACCCGAGAACTGCAGCTACCAAGTCACCACAGCTGCCAAGTCACTGCAGCTTGGCAGCTCCTGCATTGAGCATCTGCCCCCTGATGGTCAGTTCACATCATAGCTACAGGCCAGGCAGCTGGTCGGCTAGTCAGCCGGACACTTAGGCTTTTATACATATAGATAATGGTTTGCTAATATCTTAAAGATATGATTCCTCTTATTTGTGCCCACACACTTCTTTAATAAGGTATTTCAATAAAGCTTACTTTCCCTGACTGTAACTGGGGTCATGAGTACATCATGAACTTGGTCTTTATTTCTCTAAATGAGATATGTTGGAAATCAGCCATAATAGAGAGTTGGAATCAGCAATGAGAAGGAATATGTTCAAGCACTGGTTTTTAATGCTTCCTGGTTGTGTGGCTTTGGGAAGCTACTTAATTATCCTAAGGATCAATTTTCACATCTGTAAACTGCTTAATATAATTTGTTCCACATGCATCTCAGAGTTATCTCAGCTGAGTTAATCCATATGGTTTAAATATTGTGAAGCAATAGATAAACATAAGACATTACTAATGAAACTAGGAGAGGGGTAACGTATGGTCCCTCTATTCATGTTAAAGGGCACTTCATTCCACACAGTTGATATTTGGAAAAGTTTGGTTCTACCTGTTGTGTATTGTCTGTACCTTGGAATAAAATGGCTCAAATGTCATTTGCATACCAAATATTGATTCAATTGACATTGAATTGAAAAGAATTTTAAAACTCCAGGCTATTTTTGAGAGACCACTATAACTGAGGGCATATATTAGTAGCATGGGGGCTACTATCATTCCTTCTACAGAGCCCATGGCAATAATCATTAATTATCATAGCATGTGTTCTCACCAAGGCTGGATGCAACCTCAGAATCCTAAATAGAGCAACTTAGTCACAAAAGTTCAAATACTACAGAGTTTGAGACCGAGTAAGTTAATATAAAAACATTAAAATGTTGTTTTCAAGAGAATAAATGGATGTAGCAACCACAAGGAAAACTAACAAGCCATCACATAACATTTGGAAGCTCTTTGCAATGATCATCCATATCTTTATAACAAAACAGGAGTGCTATTAGAGTTAGGTTAATATAGTAAAAAAAAAAAATGTGTCACCTAAAGACCAAAAACTACTCTCAACTGGAAAATTTAGTGTTGAAACAAAGTCATACCTATGGCATTTGCCTTACTTCTTACATTTGTAAGGAGTAAGTAACTGCCTTACATCATTAACTCAAGCAACTCACTTCTGAATACTGTGACTACAGGAATGGTTATCCTGTGTCTCAAAGAAAAAGTCTCAGTTATGTTTAACACATTCTAAATAAACAGACAAAGTAGGTCATTTTCTATTTCAGGAAGCTTTACATCACA